AGGGCACATGTCCAATGACAAGAAAGTCTCTTACTGGTTATTGCATAAAACTTGGAGGAGCTCTCATCTCCTGGAAGACAAAAAGAAAGTCCACAGTATCTCTTTCGTCAGCAAAAGCTAAATACAGATCTATGGGTAAAACTACATGTGGGATCACATGGATCCTTAGTTTGTCATGAGATTTGGAGGTACTAGTCAAAAGACCTGTTCAATTGTACTGTGATAATAAGACAGCAAATGATACTGCAACAAATCCAGTTTTCCATGAGAGGATAAAGCATATAAAGATTGATTGTCACTTCATCAGAGGAAAAATACAAGAAGGGATGATCAAAACAATGCACATTCGAACTTTGAAGCAGCCAATTGACATTTTCACAAAACCACTATACAGCAGACAACATTCATATCTATTATGCAAGCTTAGCGCTTATGACATATATAAACCACAAGCTTGAGGGGGAGTGTGAAGATATGAATATTATTATTAAGGAAAACGAATATTTGACATTATGTCAAATATTATGTTTTTATTACCATACAAATTTTATGCTAATTACATCCCGGATTGTATGGGATTAAGACATTAAGGCACATAAAGTGATTGCCTTCTTTAGAGATATTACACTTGTATGAATAGTCCCTCTTTGTACAAATTATGATATACAAAAATATATAATTCATTGTTCTGTTTCTCCTCTCTTCTCTTAGGTAGTATCTGGCAATATATATATACAGTAAAATCTCTCTATGGTGATACTCTATATAGGAATAAACTCTATATTGTAATAAGTTATAATTTTTCTAATTTCCACCTTAAGGAAAGTTGTCTCTATATAGTAATAATTATTTGTATATTACAAAAAAAAAAAATATATATGTTATGTAAAATTAAAGGTTTAAAATAAAATAAAAATATTTATTTAAAATTGTTTGAGACAATGATTTATGTTTTAGAGTTATTATCACATTTTTTACCTTACAATTACGTAATAGCTCGTTAGCATGAATACCTTCTTGTTGAAGCCAAAATATTTTTAGTTTCTCAAGCATGTTTAGAGCTTTATGGCACAAGACTTTTTGTATTTCTGTACTATTGTCCTTAAGATTATTTCCTTTCTTTTCTTGTCTAATTGTAACAATGATTTCTCATTTGGTTAAAGTATACACGATTTGTTGCTCATTTGGATAATCAAAGAAGACATTAATATTCATTCGATTAGTGTGGTGAATTTGTCAAATCTGATCACTCAATTCTATAGTGACTCTTTTATTCTCCTCATCAACTTTACTTGTAACTTACAATTCATTGATATTAGTGGTCCTCATTTTGCAGCACTTAAAACCATTGATCATTGTCTGTGACTTCACATCAATTGACCATACATCAACTGTATTTACAGTTCCATCAATGACACTTATTTTTGCTGGTTCTAAGAAACGATCTTTTATCCGTTTCAAAAGTAAGCAATTGAAATGCTGTATTGAAAATCTAATATTACTAAAATATGAATTGAAATCTTAATATTGTACTACTAAAACATAAATTATAAAATAAGAAATCAAAATTATTATTTTTGTAACTACACCTCTATTAAGTTATAACCTCTTTATACTAATAAAATTAGTTAGTCCTAATATTATGATTATAGAGAGGTTTTACCCCGCGTGTGTGTATATATACATACATATATATATTCTATAATATTATATAATATATATATATATATATATATATATATATATATAGTATATATATTATATATAAACAAAAACAAAAAACAAAGCAAACTGTACATCTGGAACAGAAAGCTGCAAGTAGAATTTTGAGCCGTCATAGTGAATTAGTGATATAAAATGGGCCTAAAAGCATCCTCTTCCAACGGTTTACATTTCTTCTTGATTCCAATTCTAACCTAAAATTAATTAATCATTATTAATTATTTGTTAATTAATTTCCTTCAATTTCAAGTTCTAATTAAAATTTAATTAATTATAATTAAGAATTAAAATTACTTGGGCCGGAAATCTTGATTTTCCTCGACACTTCTTATCTTCCCCTGCAGTTGGCTCAATGTTTGACCTTTTAAAACTTATAGCCTTAAATTTATAAATAAAAAAATAGAAAATCAAATTAAATAATTAATTAGAAGCGTTCTAATTAACATTATAGATTAATTAAATATCTGATTACTCTAAAAATTAAACAAAAAGAACTACATTGATTATCCCCAGTTATAAAATGTGTTCAAAATTTCCGAAACAAAATTCTTTTTAGTTTTTTCTATACATTAATTGTGATTAAAATCTAATCATACATTATTAAACAAACCTGAAAAACTCCATGAAGCTGGTGGGCAGTAAAGTTATAGAGAAAAAGAGGCAATCCAAGAGTTATTGCCCTTACAGAATCCTTATATTTCTGTGGAAGCCCTACAAACATAATTCAAAAACCGTTATCACAGTTAAAGGTTATAGAAAATGAAAAAACGTTTTTTTCTTTCTTCGTTTTTTTAATTTTACACTAATTTTAGAATTGGGTATGAAATTTTACCAAAGAGTTGGCGGCAAAGATCTTCTTGCATTGTTTCACTGTTGCACAAAAAAATGTAGCCTCTAAGAGCCTCGTTTCTAGGCAACATTTCGCTCGGGAGAAGAGTCTTGTACCATTTATGATCAGCAGCCTGTTGTTGTAGCTGCAATAATAAATTCCTTAACAAAGAAAAACTATAATTATAAATATTTGTATTATTTTTTTCTCAATGAATAAATATTTTTGTACTATCAATATTCATCCATACAAATTATGTATAAGTTAGTATTATTCATTATTTAAATTCCAACCCTGCCCATAGCAAATTCTTGGTTCACCCCTGATTATTCGTTAGCTAAGTTTGTTTAATTAATTTGTCAATTACCTGACTGTCTTCCTTCATTGGAAAGACTTTTTGTTGAGAAATGTGCAGAGTTGACGGCTTCAATCTCAAGTGTTTCATCTCTATGCAAATTAGAAATTATTGACGGCAAGGAAGTGGTGCCTAGTAGTACTATTTCTACTGAATTCCAGTCATTAAATTCTTTGACTCTTTCAAGTACTGTAAAGTTTGGAAATTGGATAAATCGAAGATTTCAAAAAAATTTAAAGATTGTTGGTTGTGAAGAGCTCACATCATCTTGATGCTCATGCTCACATCATCTCATAAACTTCACCATTTGGCATAACCATAATCCCTCCTTATGTGCGTAACCATCTTATCGGAATCGCGGGCTTTCCCATTTGCCCAAAATCCCCTTGTCCCCACAAGGTTCCCGAACTTTGCCCGAGTGCGCCACCACTCAAAATTTGACTTGTGTTGGTAAGTCACTTCATGGTATTCATAGCCTTACCTCCCTTAAAGGATTGTATTTTGTAAATCGTGTGAGTCCTGTTTTGTTTCCAGAGATCGATTTTCTTTCCAGTTTGAGTTCTTTGACCATTAGTAATTGGAAGGCTCTAAAATCTTTATGAAGGATTGAAGCAAAATAATCTAGAAAGACTTGTAATTAAAGATTGTGATTCTCAAAGAGTCTTTGAAGGAGATATACTACCTTTATCTTTGAAAAGACTTTGAGATGGAAAATTGTAAGCAATTGGAACATTTGGAGGATTTGAGTACTACTCTTGCGGAGTACCTGGACATTAATGACTGTCTTTGAAAGGAACTTAGCATTTATAATTGTCCAGAGCTTAAAACCTATCATCAAGGACATAGTGTTCTTTAAAGCTACTGTATATTTCATATTGTTCAAAGCTAGAGTCAATCCTAGAGACATATGGAAATAACATGTGGCGGCTGCTGCTGCTATCACTGCTCCTACTCCTCCTCCTACTATCTTGCTTTGCTTGTGTCCTCCTATTGCTCCTACTCCTCCTACTACCTTGCTTTGCTTGTGTCCTGCTGTTGCTCCTGCTGCTAACACTGCTCTTGCTCCTACTTCTCCCCCTACTACCTTGCTTTGCTTGTGTCCTGCCCCTAACATTGCTCTTGCCCCTACTCCTGCTCCTACTCCTCCCCTACTACCTTGCTTTGCTTGTGTCCTGCTATTGCTCCCGCTGCTAATACTGCTCTTGCTCCTACTCCTCCCCCTACTACCTTGCTTTGCTTGTGTCCTGCTATTGCTCCTGCCCCTACTCCCCCTACTCCTCTCCCAACTACCTTGCTTTGCTTGTGTCCTGCTATTGCTCCTGCTGCTAACACTGCTCCTGTCCCTACTCCTCCCCCTACTCCCCCTACTCCCCCTACTCCTCTCCCAACTACCTTGCTTTGCTTGTGTCCTGCTACTGCTCCTGCTGCTAACACTGCTCTTGCTCCTACTCCTCCCCCTACTCCTCTCCCTACTACTGCTCATCCTGCTCCTCCTCCTACTGCTACCTTGCTTTGGAGAAATGGCACAAGCCTTTAGGTTTTCTGTCACTTCATCTATACGTTCCCCAGTTGGGAAATATGCCTTCTCTTTTTCTAGTCCATCATAGTTTTCAATATCCAAAGGACAACCGTGTTCTAGTTTTTTAATTGCGCTTTCCCAAAATTCTATTCTCATAGAAAATAAATAGGAACCCGACACTTTAAGGGCCAATGGAACGCATTTGGAATATGCTACTATTTTATTTGATAGCTCAATATAATATTCAGTAGGAGAGTGTTGCTTAAAGGCATATTTATTGAAAAGTTGATGGGCTTCCTTCTCTCTGAATCCCTCAACTTTATATTTACAACCATCATCTACTCCACAATTATTCAACACTTGTTTATCCCTTGGAGACAATTTATTTAGTATATCGCCTGAAATTTCATCTACAAATTCATATTCAGACCTAAAAATAAACAACAAAACAAACTTTAATTAGTTAGAAATTATGTTTATTTAGTTTTCATTCAATTCGAGCGTTTGGAAATGTTTAATACACTAAACGAATTACAAAAAGCGAAGTATTATGGAATAAAAACCTACTTTCCATGATTATTTATTTCATAGCCAGCTAGACTAGCTGCATCTTTCAAACAAGTCTTCCATTCCTGCAGCATCTCTAAGTTCACCTTAGGATGATCCTGAAGAGCAGCAAATTCGTTTCCAAAACGATTACATTGATGCCTTACATCTGACGGAGCTACGTGATAGAAAATTGGTATAACAATCTGCTTCTTTTTTTCCTTGCAGAAAATGATTTCTTCGAGTTCTTGGAGGCACCATCTAGAAGACGCATAATTTTCTGAGAAAATAATGACCGAAATCTTTGCTGCTTTAATGGCATTTGAAATAACCGATAAAAATTCTTCTCCTTTGGCAATGTGGTCATCCACAAAAGTATTAATATTTGCACGACACAAAGCCCCATGGAGATGGCTCATGAAATTTTTGCGGGTGTCCTTGCCACTGAAACTAAGAAAAACTTCAAACTCCTTTGAAGGATTGTTGGTGGAAGACAAGAAGGAACCAGCCATCGCCTTCAACTAATGAAATGCTTTTCAGTTCTGTTTAAGTAGACAAAATATTAATGACATTCCAGGAATTGGGTTCTTCATCAATCACAAAACACTTCATTAGAAAGAACAAAACACATCATTAGAAAGAAATTGAAGTAATTGAGGAAACGTACTTCAAAATTAAATGTCATTTTCCACTACACTTTGTTGACGCTTCAGAAATTAATTTTCCACATTTTATAAAAATAAACAGGTATCATATTCGTAAATATTGTGTACAAAGTACTTGCAACAAGGAACAGTGTCAATTTTAAGTGCATAAATCATAATGAATTGCTTAACGGATGATTATTCTTCTCATAAACCCTTAAAACAAAAAAAAAAAAAAAAAAAAAAAAAAAAAAAAAAAAAAAAAAAGAGTAAAGAAAATATCAAAAACCTTTAAGGAAGATTCATGGAAATTTCAAGGCAATTATAAACTAGTTTCTCTCTGTCTCTCTGCATTTCTACTCTATCAGAAATTGTCATTCTATTTTTTTCTGTTCTCCTATTTTGAATAATAATTACAATTTAACCCATCAGTGGGTATCCCAAGTCCCAAAAATATCCTTTTTTAAAAAAAAAACCTTAGCAAAACAAGGCAAATTGATTTTTTTTTTAAATTAAAAAAACAATATTTTTTCCCATTTTAATTCTTTGAAATATTAATATCTTTTTATTGAGAATAGATTTCTACATATATACCATGAAACAATAAAGGCACTATTTACCTTTTAATTAGCCTTGGAAGTTCATATCTGACATTTCGGCCACTGGAAACAATTTTGAGGCACTATAAATATCAGTAAATCTTCAACCAAATTTGTTTAAATAGATGCTAATTTTTCATAAAATTAAAATAAAATCAAAGAAAAATCCAAGTATATATGTTATCAAACATGGATCCAGATATGAATGTTTTGGAGAGAGATGCAATTGCTCCAGACAAAGTATGTGAAGCCAGATCTGATGAATATATTAAGTAATTCAAAATTCTGTAATCTGTAAAATTATTCATCAGAGTAAATTAAATTTATATTTCTTGAACAACCATGCACTCATAAATATAGTAAGTAATATTTCAAAAGAAATTAAAAAAAAAAAATGTAGAAACTTACAGCTTTGAGGCCAGGTTCCAATGTTTCTCTCTTCTTCACTCACTCTTGACTTTGTCAAAAGTATTCTCCCTTTCTCTCACATATATAAATATTATTTATAAATATTTGAATATACAAATGCACATGGGACATGTGTACGTATGTACAAACTAAATAATATTATTTGGTTACCCAACTGCTTTGGCTTCATGCATTCGGATCTTCCTTCTACGTAATTGATTCTTCCTCATCCTCCGCTTTAAGACTGTATACGAGCTGAGCCGAGCCGAACACTATAGGACTTGACACTTGGTTCGAGAAAATTTAACGAACTCGAGCTCGAGCTTGGGTTTGACGAGCTCTGGAAACCAAGCTTAAAGCTCGGCTCGAGATTATTTGATGAGCTCGAAGCTTAACTCGTTTAACATACTTTTATCCAAAACAACCCACCAATAATCTTTAAAAAAAAAAAAAAAAATCCAAAGCTAACCCATCAGATTCTTCAAAACATTAACGATATTGTAAAAGCAACAACCTCATTTTTTAAGAAGAAAAAGCAGTTTGGAGAAAGGAGAGTGAGACAAGATTTGTAATGCCATAGATTTGAGGTAGAAGAGCTAAAGGAGAGAAGAAGGAAAGAGAAAGGAAAGGAGAAGAAGAAGGAAAGGAGAAGAAGAAGGAAGGAGACAAGAAAGGAGAAGAAGTGTGGCAGTGATGGAAAGGAGAAGAAAAAGAAAAGTGAAAAGAAAGGAGAAGAAGTGCAGTTGTGATGAAAAATGTGTTAAGAGTTTTTAGAATAAACAATTTATATGTAAAATAATAAAGTACATAGACACCTTTATACTTGAAAAACTTACACCTTATATTTAAAAAACTTACACTCATACCCTCACGAGCCTATCGAGCCGAGCACTGGGTGGCTTGGGCTCCGCTCGAAAATGCACTTAAGCAGCTCGAGCTCGACTCGAATCAAGCCGAGCCAAACTCGAGCTTTTCTCGAGCGGAGCCGAGCCGTTCTCCGCTTGTATCCAAAGCTCACTCCCTCCCATACAACAACAAAACCCCATCAATTTGATGATAATTTCATACAATAATCTCTTGCCTCTTTCAATACTAATATGTTTTTAATATTTGCTAAAAATTACATGTTATATAAAAGAAAATGCATAATTTTGTATATAAAAATTTTTTTAACCTAGTTTCGAGATGAGGAGAAAGAATTTGTTAATATAATTTCATGCGTTTGTTAGGGGTGTGCAAAAAAACCCGTAACCCGATAATCGATCCATAACCGAAAACTGAAAAAAACCGGGTACCTGAAAATTCGGTTATGAAGATTACAATTTCAAATTTATTGTTATTATGTTCATAAATAAAAATAAGTAAATAACAGTTAACAAGATTTTTATCTATGAATAATTTATATATTGATACATCTCCTATAGAGAAAAAAAAAAAAAAAAAAAAAAGCATACATATTTGAGTAATTTTCTATATTCCTAATTTCATTTATAGATGATAGATATTATTTACATTTATGAATTATTCTTATTAGTTCATTTAGAACACTTTTACTGTGTTTTAAAAAAAAAAAAATATTATTAAATATATCAATAAGGCATTATAGAAATTATATTGATTACAAATTTATTTATTTTTTATTTGTATAAAAATTAATTTAAGTAATAAGTGAGCTGAATTTATGTATAAAAGTTGTTGGGTTCAAAATAATGAACCCAAGCCCATGCAATAGAAGAGTGAAAGAGAGTCCATGCCACAAGAGGCATGGAGGCCCAGAATCCATTAAAAAGGAAGTTGCAGTCCACTCCCAAATAAAAGGGACAAGAGAAATCACTCACTCAAGACTTTATGTTTACATCCTATAATACTCGGTTAAGAATCCCGACCATAGACTTTTGTGCGATGGAACACACGTAATAAATCAGGGGTAATTGTATTTTTTACCTTCCCAATACTATCAAACCAACTCCCTATCCTCACTCCGTCTATAACCATACTTCTTTAAAAGCCCCCCAATAAATTCTATAGTGAAAAAATAATGATGATGTATAAAATTTTATGAGAATAAGTGGTGCGAATTCGAATTATAGAATTTTATTCTAAAAGAAAAAAAAGATCATTACTATAACCTTATTATTTGAAAGAGAACAGAAAACATCACATTTTAATTGTCTAAATTTCATTAATACATAAGTTGTATTGCAAACAAAATTTCAACTTATTTAGTTTAAGAGTAATACTACTCAAGAGTGAATCCATAAATTTTTGTTAGGGTGGATCAAAATAAAAACTAATTACACATTCATATTTTTATCCATTAATATTTCTATTAAGGTGTGTCAAAATCTTTGTTATTCATTAATATTTCTGTTAAGGAGTGAATCCATTAATATTTATCCATTAATATTTCTATTAAGGAGTGAATCCATAAATTTTTGTTAGGGTGGATCAAAATAAAAACTAATTACGCACTAATATTTTTATCCATTAATATTTATATTAAGGTGTGTCAAAATCTAGAAATTGTACATATTAATATATATTTTTTTTAAATTGATACTAGTATTACATCCACCCTTGACACTATTCATTCCAAATAATTATCTCAAATTTCACGTACTAAATGATGTGTCATTGTGCAAGCATTATCAATTTGTTCAATGCATCATCAATTTATTTACATATTAATGCCACATATGCTAACATATCTCTTGGAGCAGGAAATTTGGGATAAGTTTTGGAAAGAGTAGTATTATTGTTAATTTAATATAAAAAATTTATCGTGTTTTGCGGCGAAAAATATCGATAATGTACCAAATATTTTGGATCATAGAACAAATGAAATGAACCCATTTTCTTCGATCTATAAACAGTCTTATCATATAAAGCATGTTTCTTTAATCATACAAACATACATAAACTAAACTTATTTTACTCAATGTATAAATCAAAAGATACTTCAACTAAAAATACATAAAAGTAACATTAAATATTTGCCGTGGCAGAACTAGCCACTGGCTTGACCAAGACTGCAAGCCAGATCAAATTTATAAAAAAAAATTATTGGTTAAATTTTTTTTTTTAAAGAAAATATTAAAATATAGTGAAATATAAGCCACAATTTGTATTATTTTTTTTCTCAATGAATAAATATTTCTGTACTATCAATATTCATGCATATAAATTGTTGAAGAGTGATGAAATGCACATGGTTTCACAAGAAACAAAAATAGTCTTTGGAGAAAGAGACATGATCCGCCTTTGAAGGGAATTAAAATATGAAGAACCAGCTAATTAATAAGAATTGAGAAAATGTCATATATTAAGAAACGATAACCCTATAGTTTCGGTCTACTATTGTCCAATAATACTTGTTTCATGTTCTAGCATTTTGTCTGATCCATTTTAATATAACAAAAGAGCAACTAGCTTTTCTCTGGGGTAAAATTAATGAGTATTGAAGGAATCTTCAACAGCTCCCTTTTGTAATTAACTCTAAAATACTAAATTATTACTAAAAAATAGTTAATTATTATAGTAATTGTAGCTACCAAAGCCTGTGCCTTTCTTGTATCTTGAATCAAGTTTCAGCATTCTTACACAAAACTAACCATTTTCTGTTTTGCTTTGCTTTCATACACATCCATTGTTCTCTAGTCGTGACAACCAAAACCATGGCTGAACTTTTGCTCTCTGCAGCCCTTCCTTTGTTGTTTGAAAAGCTCTCGTCCCCTGAGTTGTTCAATTATTTTGCAACTGAAGAAGGGGTTCGTTCAAAGCTGAAGAAGTGGGAAAAGAAGAAGAAAATTCGGGCGGTTTTTCGCACTGCAGAAGAGAAGCAACGCATGAACGACGCTGTGAAACTGTGGCTCGATGATCTCCAAGACTTGGCTTATGATGTAGAGGATTTGCTGGAAGAGTTTGCCTATGAGGTTTCGCGGCAAAACTCCATTATTACCCCTTCTTGTTTTAATAATTTCAATCCTCACTCTATAAAGTTTGATTTCAGTATGTGATCCAAGATGAAAGATATCTGTTAAACATGAGACCAATTTCGAAAAACAAGAGTGCAGTATTCAACCCAAGCAAATAGAATCACAAGTAATAACAATAAAGTAAAAAGCAGAAAGATAAAAGAACACCAGGATTTATAGTGGTTTGGTAATCTATTAGATTATCGACATCCACTCTTTAGGATAGTAAGAAAGATTACTATGAGAAATAAGAATAACCTTACAGAGATTTCAGCTCACTCCTTTCCACATATCAAAACCCGAGAAAGGACCCTCTGTAATACACTCGAAACCCAGATGTTTCCTCTCCTCTCATACATACCAAACAACCAGAAAACAGTGAGATTTATACACAAGATGTAAGGGAAAAATAGAAAACACAGCTAAGACCCACCACCACTTTTTGATTCCATCAACGATCTTCAAGGTTCCAGCACATCCCAAAATCGTAACAACCTTTCTCTCTTTGTACCCAAGAGAGAAAGATAGAGAATAAAAACTCGATCCAACAAAACCTAATTTAGATTAGGTTTATTAATAATAGGAAAAGCCAAAAATGCCCCTTAGCTTTTAACAAATAACTTTGACCATTCCAAGTTATAGGTTGACTTCCACGTAGGCATAAGTCAATGCCACATCACAACAAATCTCTACCTTGGCATTTGATCTTTGCCATTCATTACTACCTTGGAAAAACGTCTCTAACTTTCTTCAATATGTAGAAGACTCTTAAAGAGCCTTAACTTGTCTAAAGTAACAGACTCGGTGAACATATCTGCTGGGTTTTCTTTTCCAGGAATCTTTTCCACCTTAATGACTTTATCTTCAATCAGATTTCTGATAAAATGGAGTCTGACATCAATGTGTTTTGACCTCTTATGAAAGACTTGATTTTTGCACAAAAAAATTGCACTTTGACTGTCACTCTTGATTGGAACTTGCTGCTGATTTAGTCCCATCTCATCAAGCATTCCCTTTAGCCACATTGCCTCTTTAATTGCTTCTATAATTGCCACATATTCTGCATCCATAGTTGACAAAGTAACTATAGCCTGCAAGTTAGCCTTCTAGCAAACCAGATTATCCCAAATAGAAAAACAGAAACCAGTCATGGATTTTCTATTGTCTACATTTCCAACATAATCAGCATCCACACATCCTACAATAAGATTCACCTGATTTTGCCCTCTACTATAAACAATACCAATGGACAATGTACCCCTTACATATCTAAGCACCCATTTTACAGCTTCCCAATGACTCTTTCCAGGGTTACTCAGAAACCTACTTACAGAATTGACTGCAAAAGCCAAATCTGGTCTGGTACAGACCATTAGATACATCAAACTCCCTATTGCATTTACATATGGAATGCAGGCCATTTCCCACTTTTCTTCTTTTGTTTTTGGGCATTGGACTGTACTAAGTTTAAAATGCTGACCTAAAGGTGTTTTGACAGGTTTAGAATCATTCATGTTAAACTTCTTTATGATTTTTTCAGCATATTCTTTCTGTGACAACACAAGTCTTCCAGTTTTCCTATCCCTTTCAATATTCATACCTAGGATCTTTCTGGCTTGCCCTAAATCTTTCATTTCAAATTGTCTACTCATCTCTTCTTTGAATCTAGTAATTTCAGAAAGATCTTTATAAGCTAGAAGCATATCATCCACATACAAAGCCAGGTAGATGTAGCATTCACCATACAAACACTTGAAATTAAAGCAACCATCAAAGCTACTTCGAATAAAACCAGCATTCACCATAAACTGTCAAACTTCCTATACCACTGCCTAGGTGATTGCTTTAACCCGTACAAGGATTTTTTTAAAAGGCAAACTTGGTTTTTAGACCCCATTTCAAACAACTCAGGTTGTTCCATCAAAATTTCTTCTTCTAAATCCCCATTTAAGAAAACTGTTTTGATGTCTAATTGCTCTAGTTCTAAACCAAACTGAGCTACCAAGGATAAAAGGATTCTAATAGTGGTGTATCTCACAATTGGTGAGAAGATCTCATTATGGTCTACCCCTTCAACCTGTGTAAAGCCTTTTGCCACTAACCTTGCTTTAAACCTAGGTGCTTCTACGCTTGGTATACCCTCATTCCTTTTGAAAACCCATTTGCATTTAACAACCCTACTGCTTTCAAGTTTGTTAATAAGAATCCAGGTCTGATTTTTAATTAAGGAATCATACTCTTCCTGCATGGCCAATTTCCACTACCTAAAATCTCTACTATTTATGGCTTCCTTAACTGTTTTAGGTTCCTCATCAATTTCTTCAGCAACTTGAAGAGCAAAAGCTACCATATCAGCATGCGAGTATCTACTAGGTAGTCTAGTTTGTCTTCTTTCTCTATCTCTAGCTAATTGATAATTTTGTAGGTCATTTTCATCACCATTATTATCATCTAGGCTAGGTTCATCCACCTGAGGGTTTTCTTATGGGGGTTCTAAATGAGAATTGTTGAGGTTTGAAACTTTTCAACCTAGGTCCAGGTTAAACACCTTTGTCCTATCTGTATTGTCACTCTCTTCCTGACTCAAACCACCCAGCTCATCCTCATTAAACCTAACATCTTTGCTGACAATGCACCTTTTCCCTACAACATCCCAACATTTGTACCCTTTTATGCCATTAGGATACCCTAAGAAAGTGCATCTAATAGCCCTTGGTTGCAACTTATCAGATTTATCATGAACAAACACAGTGTAGCCAAAAACTCTAAGGTTACTATAATTTGCAGGATGTCCTGACCATTTCTCCATGGGTGTTTTGAAATTAATGGCTGAGGAAGCTATTCCGTTTATTAGATAAACAGCAGTGTGGGTAGCTTCTGCCCAAAACTTGGTAGATAATTTAGAACAGGATAATAGGCTTCTAACCTTTTCTATAATGGTCTATTCATCATTTCTGCTAAACCATTTTGCTGGGGTGTGTGTCTTACTGTTCTATGCCTCAGAATTCCACTTTCCCTACACAAACTATCAAACTCTTCATTGATAAATTCTAACCCATTATTAGTTCTAAGTTTCCTGATTTTCTTCCCAGATTGATTTTCTATCATAACCTTCCAATCTTTGAATTTCCTAAAGGCCTCTCCCTTAGTTTTCAAGAAGTAGATCCAGACTTTCCTAGAAAAATCATCTATTATATGATGAAAAATCTACAGCCTCCCAAAGAGGGATACTTGTAGGTCCCCACACATCAGAGTGAATATAATCCAGAATAGAATTTGAACAATGTTTTCCAACATCAAACTTAATTCTACTCATTTTTCCATAAATGCAGTGATCACAAAAAGACAGTTTCTCTACTTTATCCCCTCCTAAAGCATTTTGCTTACTAAGCTCTATCAATCCTCTCTCACTAATGTGTCCTAATCTTTTATGCCAAATAGAGGTCTTATTAGGTTTCTGTGAGGTCACTGCTGCTATTCCAGTAACAGTTGACCCATTTAGAACATATAAGCCATTCTTTTTCTCTCCTTTCATTACTATTAAAGGTCCTTCAGTAACCTTAAGGACTTCACCTTGAGCTTTGTAGCTAAAACCATTTGAGTCTAAGTTGCCTAAGGAGATTAAGTTCCTTTTCAACTCAGGTATGTACCTAACTTCTGTAAGGACTCTGCTACTACCATCATGAAAACTTAACTTGACATCTCCAATGCCTAAGACATTACACACTGCATTATTCCCCATTAGAACCTTGCCTGATTCTATCTTCTTAAAATTCATCAAAAAACTCCTATTTGGAGTCATGTGGAAAGTACATCCAGAATCTAAAATCCACTCAGATTGAGATTCTCTATCAGAAGCTACTAGGACATCAGAACTTTCATATCCATCAGAGGCTATATCTACACTACCATTAGCCTCTTTCTCTCCTGATCTTTTCTTTCTATCTAGGCAATCTATCTTAACATGCCTTTCCTTATGACAATGAAAACACTTCCTCACAAACTTGGATTTGGACTTATATCTACCCCTAAAATGACCTTTCTTTGACATCTTCTTCTCAGACCTCTGATATTAGGCCCTTCTACATCTAGCTTACCCTCCTTTTTAAATTCAGCACCTTAACAGTAATGGCTACTACTACTTCATTTAGCTTAAGGGTTTGTCTAACATACTTAAGGGTGTCAACGAAATTTGAAAACATTTTGGGGAGAGAATTAATAAGTATCACAACTTGATCTTCATCCTCAACTTTAACACTAAGACCTTCTAAATCCTGTACTAGTTTCATAAAGTCATTCATAGTTTCTCCTAATATTTTGCTTTCATCCATTTTAAAACTGAAAAATTTCTATTTTAAAACTAACCTATTAGGAGAAGACTTTGACAGGTATAGAGATCCTAATTTTTCCCAAATCCCTGCTAGTGTGGTCATTTCTTAACCTCTCTTAGGACTTTATCCCCCAAACCTAAAATTAGAGTACTGTAAGCTTTATCTAACAGATCTTTCTTCTCCTTCTAGGATAGAGACTCTGGTAAGCTATCCTTACCCTCTAAAGTAGCAGACAATCCATCCTTAACTAAGACAGTCCTCATCATCATCTTCCATAACCCGTAATCATTATCCCCTATGAATTTTTCTACTTCAAACTTAGACATATCTAGGTTCCTAAATCTCACAGTTGCTAAGAGTGTGAAAACCCAAAATTTCCCAAGACTCAAAAAAACCTTAAGTCAAGAATTCGTAACTGTAAAAAACAGATCTAAACCTAGACAACCACAAAAATTGGAAAATCAATCTCACAACCTAGAATGAAACCTAGGTGCTAGAAAGAAACCTAGCTCTGATACCACTTGTTAAACATGAGACCAATTTCAAAAAGCAAGAGTGCAGTATTCAATCCAAGCAAACAGAATCACAAGTAATAACAATAAAGTAAAAAGCAGAAAGATAAATGAACACTAGGATTTATAGTGGTTCTGTAATCTATTAGATTACCTACATCCACTCTTCATGATAGTAAGAAAGATTCACTATGAGAAATAAGAATAACTTTACAGAGATTTCAGCTCACTCCTTTCCACATATCAAAACCCGAGAAAGAACCCTTTGTAATGCACCTGAAACCCAGATGTTTCCTCTCCTCTCATACATACCAAACAACCAGAAAATAGTGAGATTTATACACAAGATGTAAGGGAAAAACAGAAAACATAGCTAAACCTACCACTACCATTTGATTCCATCAACGATCTTCAAGGTTCCAGCACATCCCAAAATCGTAACAACCTTTCTCTCTCTGTGACCAAGAGAGAAAGATCGAGAATGAAAACTCGATCCAAAAAAACCTAATTTAGATTAGGTTTATTGATAATTTTCCAGAAATGCCCTTAGCTTTTAACAAATAACTTTGACTATTCCAAGTTATAGGTTGACTTCCACATAGGCATAAGTCAGTGCCACATCACAACAATATCAATGATAGATTCGAAGAGCTCTATAAAGAACGAGTTGAACTTGGACTAATGCACGAGACTTCTAGAGGGACATCAACATCAAGTACTGCTGCATCTACTTAGCAAGGAGCAGATCCAAGACCACCCACTTCCAGTCTACCAACTGAAGCACCTGTTTATGGGAGAGGTGAAAACAAAAAAGAAATACATAAGATGTTGTCAAGCGATAAACCAATTGATTGCAACTTTGGGGTGATAGCAATTGTGGGTATGGGAGGACTCGGCAAAACAACACTTGCTTGGGAGGTGGACAATGACAAGGAATTGAAACGTCTCAAGTTTGAAAAAAAAGCATGGATTTCTATCTCAAACAATTTTGATATTATGAGAACCTCAAAGTCAGTTCTCGAGTCAATAAATCACTCATTCAGCGGTCTAAATAGTTCAAACAAAGTTCAAGATAAGTTAAAAGAGGAAATACGTGGAAGAAAATTCTTGCTGGTCTTAGATCTTGTCTGGAACGAGAATTATAGCTTGTGGGAAACTTTCAAGTCTTCATTCAAGGATTGTGCACGGGGAAGTAAAATAATTGTGACTACACGCTTTGAAAAAGTTGCATTAACAATGAGATCCTTTGAAACTCATAAATTAAATGGTCTATTAGATGAAGAATGTTGGAATTTGTTTTTGGAGCACGCACCTTCGATTGGTATGGATATTGATGCTCTTGGAAAATTTCGTGAAAGCGTTGTTAAAAAATGTGGAGGATTGCCCTTGGCAGCAAAGACTCTAGATGGTCTTCTACATTATGAACAGAGAGTTAATGCTTGGGAGAATATATTAAACAGCAAACTATGGGATTCATCTTCTAGAAACGATATACTTCCTGTGTTAAGGTTAAGCTACCTCCATCTTCCTCCACATCTTAAAAGATGTTTTGCTCATTGTGCAGTTTTTCCAAAAGATTATGAGATCGATGAGAAGAAACTTGAGCTTTTGTGGTTGGGAGAAGACATTATTCAACAATCAAGTAAGCACTTGAATTTGGCTAGTGAGTATTTTCATCACTTATGTTCAAGGTCACTTTTTCAAAAATCAAGTAGCAATGATTTTAAATATGTAATGCATGACCTTGTTCATGATCTAGCACAACTGGTTTTTGGAGAAATCAGCTTTAGATTTGAGGAAGCCAATTCTATGCTACCAAAAAAATTTGAAAAGACTTGTCATTTTTCTTATATTTCTAAAAATTATGATGGAAAAAATATGTTCAAGGACTTGCAAAAAATGAAAAGTCTAAGAACATTCTTTCCAATGTTTATGAGTCCTTCTAGTCGATATGACCGTAAGTACATAGATGCTACAATTATTTTTCATTTGTTGCCGCATTTCAAGAAGTTAAGAGTTCTATCCCTAGGAAGATACTAGATCACATATTTACCGAATTCCATTGGAGGATTGATACATCTAAAGTATCTCAATTTGTCCAACACGATGGTGAAAAGTTTACCTGAGTCAACAAGCTCATTACTTAACTTGCAAGCTTTGCTACTAAAAGATTGTTCTCGTCTATTGAAGTTACCTTCTAGGATGAGGCATTTGACCAATCTATGTCATCTTAATATTAAAGGTGCAAAGTCATTAAAAGGGATGTCATCTAGGATGAAAGAGTTGATAAACCTCCGAATGTTGTCTAATTTTATTGTGGTCAAAGGGAAAAAATTTAATTTGAATGATTTGAAGAATTTAAGATTTCTTCAAAGAGAGCTTCACATTTCCAAATTAGAGAATGTTAGTCATCAAAACCAAATAAGAGAGCCCATACTAAAAAATATGGAAGATTTAGAAATATTGTTGTTGGAATGGGGATCCCAATCCGATGGCTCACCGAATGAGGAAGTAGAAAGACATGTTCTTGAGATGCTAAAACCTCATAGCAATTTGAAAGAACTCTTAATTAAGTGCTATGATGGTGCATGTTTTCCATCCTGGTTAGGAGATTTGTCATCACTTTCCAATGTGACAATTCTTAAATTAGAGAATTGTAACAACTGTGGAAGTTTCCCTTCACTTTGGATGTTGAGCTCACTTAAAGACCTAACCATTGAAGGGATGAAGAGACTAGAAAAAATAGATGTCGAGATGCCTTTGAAGCCACTAGAGGTTCTTCGTTTTCAAAATTTGCAAGAATGGCAATGTTGGAACACTAAGAGAGAAAATGAGGATGTCGAAACATTCCCTCTTCTCCGAGAGCTTTCCATTGTTAAATGTCCAAAACTTACTAGAGCATTACCTTACTGTCTTCCTTCATTGGAAAGACTTTTTATTCAGAAGTGTTCAGAGTTGACGGCTTCAATCCCAAGTGTTCCATCGCTATGCAGATTAGAAATTAATGACTGTAAGGAAGTGGTGTGTAGGAGTACTATTTCTACTGAATTTCAGTAATTAAATTCTAAGTCTATTTCAAGTACTCCAAAGTTCAGAAATTGGATAAAGCAAGGATTTCAAAAAGTTTTAAGATTGTGGGTTGTGAAGAGCTCACAAATTCATGGCAAAATTTGACCTGTGTTGGTAAGCCACTTCACGATATTCATAGCTTTACCTCCCTTAAGGAGTTGTATTTTGTAAACTGTACAAGTCTTATTTTGTTTCCAGAGATCGATTTTCTTTCAAATCTAAGTTCTTTGATGATTAGTAATTGGGAGGCTCTAAAATCTTTACATGAAGGATTGAAGCAAAAAAATCTAGAAAAGCTTGTCATTAAAGATTGTGATTCTCTGACAGTCTTTGAAAGAGGTATACTACCTTCATCTTCGAAAGAACTTAGGATAGAAAATTGTCACGAAGTGGAACATTTGGAGGATTTGAGTACCACTCTTTTGGAGTGCTTATACCTTAATGACTATCCATCTCTCACCCCGCATCTCATCAGATGGTTGGTTGCCTGACACACTGAAAAAACTTAGCATTAGTGGATGTCCAGACCTCACAATGCTATTATTAAGAACTTTTCCTAAGGCACTTGAACGTCTCTCTATTATCTCTTGTTCAAACCTAGAGTCTACAATAGAGACATTTGAAAATAATGAGTTTCTCAAAGTGATTAAGTTTGTGGACTGTGATAAACTTACATTCGTGCCTTCAGACCTACACAATCTTACATTTCTTGAAAGTATTTTGATATGGAATTGTCCAAATATGGAAATATCCTTCAAATTCCCGAACTCTCTTCAAGAATTAGATATAAAGGATAGTCCAATATTGTTTGTAGAAGAAGGCGTTCCAACCAACCTTAAACTACTCTATGTTGCAAATGAGGCCAAAATCTATAAGCCACTATTAAAGGGGGCATTGCAGAAAATCACCTCTCTTAGACGACTTGTTATTGCTAGAACGCCCGCCTCTCTAGCTTCTCTATCTAGTTTGTGTCTTCAAAGCCTCACTTCTCTTGAACGGTTGGAGATCGAAAATTTTCCAGAGCTAAAAACCATTCCAAACTTGGGAAGCCTCATCTCTCTTGATAGTTTGTGGATCAAGAATTTCCCGAACATCGAATACATTCCAGATTTGGGAAGCCTGACCTCTCTTTTATTTTTGAGTATTGAAGAATGCCCAAAGCTCAAATCCATCCCAGATCTGGGAAGCCTAACCTCTCTTGAATCTTTGTGGATTGAGGAATGCCCAAAGCTAAAACCTTTGCAAAGCCTGTCACCTCCTCTTACGAAGTTACATATTGCCCGTTGTCCACTGTTAAAAAGATAGTGGAAAAGTGGCAGAGGAAAATATTACTCAAAGATTACTCACATTCCTGAAGTTCGTATAGATGGAAAATTAATCTTCAATTCAAAGGAGGAAGAGGAGCAAGAATAATTCAAAGGAGGAAGAGGAGCAAGAATAAACATAGTTATTTGATTTTACAAAATCCAATTAGAGAATCATCTCACTTCAAGCCAGGTTGGTCATTTTCTTACACGAATTTCTTTTATCCTCCGCCTAAATTGACTTGTTTTTTACTGCAATTTGTCTATCACTTGTTTTATTTAATAACTTTTCTGTCTTATATTTTGTTTGGTTCACTAACTAACTATATATATATATATATATATATTCAAGATGAAGCAAGTGGATAGCTGAAATCTCAAATTTGGAGTACATTCTTCAATTTGAATGGTAACTAAAAGAATTTTAAATTATGATTTAGTTTGGTAAGTGAGTTTTGATATTAGAGATGTAATTTGAATTATATTCCTCATCTTTTTGTGTCTCAGATGAGTTGAGCTTCTACCACTCAGAAGAGTAATATTTGTATGCAGAATCTGAGTCATTTAGATCCCAAAATGAAGAACCAATTAGAGAATCATTTCATTCCAATTTCAGGTTTGTCCATTTCAAACATGTGAATTGTTTTCCATATTATAATCATAAAATAGTGTTGAATATATCCCATTTCGTTGCTCTACAGTTTTCAATCCAGGAGTGGAGTAGGACATTTTGATACAAGGAAGCTTGAAATTTGAAGTTTTTATCCACTTTCTTTTTTAAGTCATCAGTTTCTTCTACTCTTGTGGGTGAAAGGTAACCAAAAGAAAGTCTTCAACACAAATTTCAATATTTTCAAGTATTTTCAATAATATCTACCAAAGTTCCTTCACAATCTATGGTTGCTAGATTTGAGATTCTTTGTTGAGGTGAAATGAAATCTGACTGCGATTGCAATGCCATAAAATTTAAAACTATGCAGCTGCATGTAAGCATATTTGACATACTTTTTATATTTAAACTCCAAGTAAATGGTAATCCTAGATCATCTTTGATTCGCAGGATCAAGCTGCCCTCAGCACAAGACTGACTTAGCCCTTAAGGTAGTTCATATGGTATAAATGAAGAGGACGATAACAGTGGATTCTTCTGTCTACATATGTGGCGTGCTCTATACATAAAGTAACTCTTTGCATGGATTGAAAGGCTGGAAGCCTGTAAAATTCAGTTTTTCAAAAAGAGGCCAAAATCCATGTAAAAAGGTTAATAATCTTCATTATTAATTTTTTAGTCTTAAATTTTATTAGTCCAAGCTTGAAATAAGACCTTTCTTCAATTTAGTTACTTTGTTGTCTTATTTATTTTTCAAAGGAAGAAATGATGAGTGCAAAACCCAGAAATGGACCTCTACACATTCTTGCTGAGTCACTATAAGTCGCTTAATAAAGCATGTGAGACATTCTTTCTCCACTTATATTGTAGACTTATTCTTATGTTCTCTAAAATCATTACTTTTTTTCTTGGACAACATCTATACACAATTTGTATATATTAATGTTCAAGGTGAATATATCCTGTGAATGGAGTGAGTGAAGCAATGTTTGTCGATAAGAAAATGTTTTGCAGTACGCTTATGATCAATTCCTATGATGGTATGACATTTCCAACTTGGATAAGAAATTCTTTGTCTTTTACTGAAGTGTAATCCTAGATCATCTTTGTCTTTGATTCACAGGATCATCTTTTAGTGAAAAGGAAGACAATAGTGGATTCTTCTGTCTACAAATGTATAATGTATGAAACAACTTCTTTTCCGTTATGATTTTACAATTTTAATCTGAGAGCATTTTATAATAGTTTAATGTTGGATTATAGCTTTCTTGGTGACTACTTTGTATTGAAAGTAACTCTCTGAAACGGTTGGAAGGCTAGATAAGATAATCTCTCAAGTACATGCCAAATGAACTTCTTATTAAAAATCTTCTCAAATTTGCATTTGTTGTTGTTGTTTTGCCTAACTGCAACCCAAATATTGATGGCTGTCCCTTGACAATTCACAGCTTGGTGCAAGAAAGACAAGGGAAGCCTATTGTCCCTATGTATGATACAAATTCTATTCATTCACCATGGCACCGTGAACTTATTATGATGGATAAAAGGAATAAGAAGTCTGAAAAACCGCAGTGCCTTGACAACAATGTAAGCATTGGATTTGAAACGGTTTCTTTGTCCAAAGAAATTAATATGCTCATCTCCTCTTCTTCTTTGATTAAATATAGGCTTGTGGGTGCTGATGTTAAGAAAATGTATGGGTGAAGAGTGAGTGTTGTGAGGTCTTGTTAAATAATAAGAGCCACAGATTGCAGAAGAAAATTTCAGCTTTTGGGATTTGTGTGCATAAAGTGGCAAAAGTGTTGAGAGAGATAAAAGAGCCTCAGGTTTCGAGTTTTGGTTTGGGTGTAATGTGAGTGTATTACTTATACTATCATTCTCTATTTTAGTCATTTGACACACATCCGTGAATGTAAGCAAAGTTTTGCCGAACCACGTAAATTCAGTGTTGTGTGATTGTTTTTCTATCTTCCTTATTTTTCATATCTTACTAACCCCATCGGAGTCCTAGTTTCTAAACAAAGTATGCATTCATGTAAGGTGTGGCGAAGTCATTACAATATTTATTGCAACATGGGTTTACAAACTATAACAGGGCATTATTGCTCTGTTCTGTTCACAGCATTAATCATCATACATAACTAACAAAGATTGACATATATTGTAGTGTCACTTTCACATTTCATTGGAGCCATATATATTTTGCCAAACCTAAGTGATGAGTTTGTTAATGGTAAGTCAAGGATATAATTGTCTTTTCACCCTTTACATTTCTTCCTCTTTGAACAAGTCGAATAATGCAAGTGCCTGCAATATATCCAATTGAAACATTAATCAACTATATATGCAAAAAATTATAGGGGAACCTATGCGTGACACTATCCAAATTATTTTTAAAATTCGAATAATTTATTCACAACAAAATATGTGAAATTCCATGTATGTCTCTTTTTCACTATCTCACTCTTCTTTTAACACATGCAAAAGAGAATAGACCAAGGAGGAAAGTGTTTTTCGCATTTCTCTTTAAAATACCACAGAGTTTTTTCAGATGCCGGTCGAACACTACCCCAATTAACAACATCGATTTATTATCAAAGTCAATTTGCATATCTAGGTTTTTTTTTTTTTTTAGTCAATATTATGAAAGAAAGAACACTTTGTGAATCAATTATAAGTAAACAAAATTAACCCTAAGAATTGATAATATATATATATATATATATAATTATATATATATATATATATAAACAAAGGCAAAGTGTACCTCTGAAACAAAAAGCTGCGAGCGAAATTTTAGGCCGTCAAAGTGATATAAAATGGGCCTAAAAGCATCTTCTTCCAATGGTTTACATTTCTTCTTGATTATAATTCTAACCTGAAATTAATTAATTATTTGTTAATTAATCTCCTTCAATGTCAAGTTCCAACTTAAAGTAATAATAATTAAAATTTAATTAATTATAATTAAGAAATTAAATTACCTGGGCTGGAAATCTTGATTCTCCTTTGCACTTCTTGTCTTCCCATGCAGTTGGGTCAATGTTTGACCCTCCAAAACTTACAGCCTTTAATTTATAATTAAAAAAAAATAGAAAATCAAAATTAATTGTTAATATTCAAGGAAGAGTGTGGAATCCTATGGAAGCCCTACAAACATAATTCAAAAACCGTTATCAGTGTTAAAAGCTATAAAAAATGAGAAAATGTTTTTTTTTCTGCGCTTTTTAATTTTACACTAATTTTTAGAATTGGGCCTGAATTTTTACCAAAGAGTTGGCGGCGACTGGCGAAGATCTTCTTGAATTGTTTCGTTGTTGCAAACAAAAATGTAGCCTCCAAGAGCCTCATTCCTTGGCAACATTTCGCCCGGAGGAAGAGTCTCGTACCATTTATGATCAGCACCCTGATGTTACAGCTTCATTGATAAATTCCTTAACAAAGAAAAACTATAATTATAAATGACAAGACAACCACAATTTGTATTATTTTTCTCAATGAATAATATTTCTGTACTATCAATATTCATCCATATTATAATTCCAACCCTTTCCATGGTTTCACAAGAAACAAAGTAATGCTGCATCTAATGTTCAATCATAATAGTCTATTCTGTGAACTTAAGCATATGAATACACAGATAACAGTTGATTTCATTTTATCAAATTCTGATGCGATTGAAAAATTCATCCTGTTGTGAACATTATAGAGGATAGCATACAATTACCGAGATAAAACTTTATAAAACTAAAACCTCTAAATTTAAATCAAACTTAAAATTAAAAAAAAAAAAAAAAATGTGCAACAAGATTGTAAGCCCCGTTCAGCTGGTTGAAGGACAACCATGTGAATGACTGTGTTATCGGCCAAGTGACCATGACAGAAATTCAACGGCCCCACACGTGTCTCAGCCGCTCACACAAGTGAGAGAATTTCCTTCATATGACGCTGCATCTCTGCAGAAGAAGGACCGGGGACTTTCCTGGTCTGGGTCAATGAATTTGGTCCAAGTCTCTTGTGGCATGATGTGCATTGCTTGCTCACTTTATATTCCACAATTTCCCATGTTAACTGAAAGATGTGGGACTAGGGACATAATATTTATAAGACACAACGAAATGCGGCGTTATTTAAACTCGAAATGAGATGGCCGGTGGAACATCCATGCAGCCAGACATTTCCCTTTCCTTTGGAGCCAAAGTAATGCTGCATCCAACATCTAATCATAATAGTCCGATTGAGTGTGTGAATTTAAGCATATGCCCCATCTCTGTAACTTCATCTAGTGTTTTCAAGATATTGCCTATTCTAACATAATTATCATTTTGTTTATCACATTCTGAGGTCAGGGTTTGGAACTGTAAAATTAGAACCATAAAAACAGGTGACCAGTCTTCCCCATATGGGTTTTCTTTTAATTCTAGAACCTATATTTCATTTGTTGAGGAACAATCAAAAATATTTATTTATTGAAGTTCACAATTTAAATGGAACAAAAGGCAATCATAATATGAAGCGCTAAAAATATCAATTACACCACCACCATCACATCAAAAACACTTAGAAAACTATACCTAGTCCTACAATAAGCAGTGTAAGATTAATTTCAATCCAGATAAAATAAACTTTCCACAATAAAAGAAGGTCAGTTGCCATACCAGCCATGAAGCTCCATTTTGAAGTACCGCCTGTATATCCAAATGCTCAGGCCTCAAGAAGGTTTGCAGCAGGCATATCTTCTCAGAGATTTTCTGATCAATCTTCACATCCTCAGGAATTGAAGAAAACGTCTGAGAAAACAGCTCTGCCATGACATACTTCTCCAATCCCTGCAGCATATAGCAAAGGGGATGAGATACGCCTAATTGTGTATGAGATGGTAAATTTCCAGAAAATTTTACAATAACATAACTTTGAAAGAGGTTCATGACTATTTTCAAAAACCTTTGAGAAGGTAAATTAAATTTTCACATCGTTAGCATCACTTGAATTTTCCATAGCTATACATTACACAGCCGGTCATGGTGACACATTATATATAGATTACTACAGTAAAGTGGCGTTAGAATTCATATTTCATTACACTGGTTTCATGATAAATTTTCCCATGGTTATACTATACATTAACAGCTAATTATTTTGAAACATGCTACATACTAAAAAAATAAAATTGAATTATATTCATCAAGAACCTCGATGAATCTACAAAGTCTATCATTACGCAATAGTATCAAAATTATGAAAACCTGATCCCTTAGTTACTGTGTCACATCTCATTACAATTAATTGGGTACTCTTGGACCCAAGAACATACTTAAATTCCATAGTCGTTCAATATTTTCAAAAACTAATAAAGACCGACCAGCCTAGTTATTATGTCACACGTGAGATATTACTAAAACAAACTTGAGTTATACTTTATATCTCATACTAAAAAATTATCAAAAACCACAAGCAACTTTTACCTCCAATGCAGAGTCAATTTCTTCCTTGGAAGCACCAACCCACAAGGGATGATCTCTAATAGCACCTTCCACTGTGAGGAAGAACTCCTGTATACTCTTCCCATCATTCTCAGGATTTGCAGTATAAAACAAAAACAAAACTATAAAGCTGAAATAAACATACAAAACCCACTTGGATAAACCAAACCTAAATCACATAAAGCAAGTTTGCATTGGCGCAACGGTATTCAGTCATCAATATTACTGTACCTATGTTTTCGTTACAAGAGGTAACATTGTTTTAGTATTCAAAAACAATTTCTCCAATACCATTTATTTACATGAAATATCAGTTTAGTAATGTTACAGGGGTCTGCTCCGGTACTGGACCTTGTAATGTGACTGCACCTATATTATGGTTAGGATTGCTCATGATTTAGCATCCCAAAAACGATTTTTTTCAGTCCAATTATTTAAACATTGTCACCAAAACATCAACTTAGTATAGTTACTACAAAAAATCTTTCAAACGGGAACTTGCTACAGTGCCGGGTCTGGTAAGGTTACCATTTCTTTGTTTCAGTTCGGTGAACCATTGTTTTAGAAACCAAAAAGAGAGATTTTTTCCATAGAATTATGAAACATTGTACACTAAATATTAGCTTAGTAACATTATCGCAAAAATCTCTCAAACAAGGGTTTGCTACCGTACTAGACCTGGTATCCTTACCGTATCTATGTTTCAGAAATTTTCGGTAATGTAGCCACAAAATGGTACAAAGACCCACCAGAACATTGTTACTTAGTAACCAAACTATCACCTTGGCCACTTACGGCACCGGTACCTATTTGCTACTGTACTGAACGCGGTATCGTTACCGTATCTAAATTTTGGAAATTTTCAATGGTGTAGTAACAAAATTGTACTAGACCCACCAAAACATCGCTACTCACTACCAAAGCATCACCTCGGTAACGTTACTGAACCGGTACCGGCCAGATTCCACACACAATCAAACAAATAAACTAAATTTAAAAAAAATTAAAAAAACCCACATAAATAAACAATTAAACAACAAACCCAAATTCACAAAATTAAACAAAAAAAGAAAAGTAAAATGAAATTAAATAGCGAGACCTTTTGATGGATCGAACGAGATCGAGGGAAGCTGGGTTTCGCATGCGACCGAGAAGTCGTAGAAGGTGACGGATTGAACGGAGGATGGCGATGAAGGGTCCATTGGGAAGAGCGACTGTTTAAGTGGACTAGGAGAATTGGTGGAAGAGAAGAAGAACAAGAAGCCATCAAAAAAGACAAAAAGGAGAGTAATTTATTAAGATGGTGGGTGAGTTTAGATCGTTTCGAGAATTTTAAGATTTGATTTTTTTTTAAGAGAGAATACCGTTAGGTTGTGCACTTTCTAGAATATTATAAAACAAAAATTACTTCCAACTAAAAATACATAAAATTAACGTTAAAATGTTAAATTATTCGCAGTGGCGGAATTAGTCACTGGCTGACCGAGACTGCAAGCCAGATCAAAATTTTAAAATATATTTAGGCCAAACGCGCATGCACCTACCCATAGTTTGTCATAACGACACTCAAAAGGTTTGAAAATGATAATTATCGCATTTTTTGTCTAACTCTGTTAATAAAATCTGTTTAAATAAGGGTAATATAGTAATTTTATATCCATTAATTTTAAATTAATCAATAAATCCCTAAAATTTTTTTATTTCATTTTTCTCTTCCCTCTCTTATCTTCTTGTTCATCTCTCCCTTCTCTTTCTTTCTTTTTCTCCGTCTTTTCCCCCTCCCCTTCTCTTTTTTAACTTTTCTTCTCCCTCTTTTCCGTTCTCTTTCTCTTCTTTCTTCTCCGTCTTTTCCCTCCTCCCCTTCTCTTTTTTCCTTTTCTTCTCCCTCTTTTCCCTTTGGTCGCTAGGCAAGAACCCGTATTTTCCTCCAGTTTTTTAATTTTTAACTTTTTTCAAATTTTTATAATTTTTTACAGTTTGAGTTGGAAGTGTTTGAAATTTGTGGTGGTTTATAGGGGTGGTGATGGTTGTATTTGGTGGTCTTTCCTCTTCAGTTTTTTAATTTTTAATTTTTTTTCAAATTTTTATAATTTTTTACATTTGGGTTGGAAGTGTTTGAAATTTGTGGTGGTTTGTTGGTGATGGTGATGGTTGTATTTGGTGGTTCTAGTGGCAAGTTTGGAGCTGGTGGAGGTCCTGACCGAGAAGAAAGGAAGAAAAGAGAAGGGGAGGAGGGAAGAGACGGAGAAGAAAGGAAAGACGAAGAAGAAAGGAAAGAAGGAGAAGGGAAAAGAGGGAGAAGAAAAGGAAAAAAGAGAAGGGAAAAGGGGGAGAAGAAAAGTGAAAAAAGAGAAGGGGAGGAGGGAAAAGACGAAGAAAAAGAAAGAGAAGGGAGAGATGAAGAAGAAGATAAGAGAGAGAAGAGAAAAATGAAATAAAAAAATTTTAGGGATTTATTGATTAATTTTAAATTAATAGATATAAAATTACTATATAACCCTTATTTAAACAGATTTTATTAACAGAGTTGACAAAAAAAAGTGGGTAATTGTCATTTTCAAACCTTTTGGGTATAAAATTGTTGTTATGGCAAACTATGGGTGGGTGTATGTCGCTCGGCCATAAATTTATTGGTTAATTTTTTTTTTTTTAAAAGTAAAATAGTAAGAGTAATAGTACATTTACACTATCCGTTACACCATTTTTATTACACTATGACCATTTTACTAATAATTATTTTATTATAATATTAAAAATTAAAAATAATTAAAAATTTGTATTGTGCCACATTTTGATGTAATAGGTGATGTAAATGTAGTATTACTCAAATAGTAAAGTATAGTAAAATATAAAATATAAAATGAGCTTTACAATTTACATGTTTATCAGATAAAAATATTAATAGATTTACAACTGTACAATTTACAGGTTTATATCTAAAATTTTAGTATATGGTAATCCCTAGGGGTGTTCAAAAGAACCGGTTGGAACCGGAACCAACGGGTACCTTGAGTTTGGTTCTGGTTCCTACCCAGAACCAATCATCAATGGGTAGGTTTTGATTCCAAATTTTTGAAACCATTACTGTGCGGTTTCGGTTCTGGTTAGGAACCAGGAATCGAGATTAATATAAAATAAAATTAAATATTACGGGGGTTAATAAAAAATTTTGTAGAAAAAGTAATGTGAATACATTTATATTTATATTTCATGACATTTAAAGTAAGTTGGTTTGACTTTTGAGAATCTACCTTTATAAAGTAATGGAGTTTGTAATTTTGAATTTATAATTTGTAATTTTATTTTTGTTAACAAGTGCCAAATGGAGTGGTATTTGTAAGTTTTTAAGGGTTTTTTTGCCATTTTAAAAACTTTTGAGGGTCATATAATTTTGCAGGGTACCTAGAACCAGAATCGAAACCGTTGTTATAGGTTCTGGTTCTGGATACCTAGGAACCGGAATCGTCAGTTCAGGTTCTGGTTCCAAATTTCAAGGAACCGTCGGTTCCGGTTCCGGTTTCGGTTCCTTCAAAAAGTGCAGGGTACCCAAAACCGAACACCCCTAGTAATCCCACATCATCTTTGGTTTGCAAGATCATCTTTTAGTGAGGAGCATAATGATCATTATTTTAAAATCCGGATCAAAGGGCAAGTTGTTTTGCTGGCTGGGTCACGGGTCAACCGTTTCATTCATTTCAATCGGTTGGACCAGTGACGTCAGCAATAATTTTATTTGTTAAAAATTATTATTAATCCCTTAATTTTTTGTACATTACAGATTATCCCTAAAAATTTTATTTATTTCAAAATGCCCCCAAAAAACATCAAATTAGTCCCTAAACTTTTAACATATCTCTAACCACCCTAGAATATTACATTAGTCCCTATAAATTTAAAATATTACCAAAACCCTACTAAAACCTGAATCAGACCAGAGAAGCTGTTGAGTCCCGGTCGGACTAGTCCGACTGACCGATCCAGTTCGGGTTTTAAAATAGAGATGATGACAATGAATTCTCCTATCTACGTATGTGTAATGTATGAAAACTTCTTTCCCGTTATGATTTTACATTTTTTATATGTGATAGTATTTGACAATAGTTTAACGTTTTATTATAGCTTTCTTGGTGACTGCTATGTACAGAAAGTAACTTTCTGCAATGATTGGAAGGCTAGAAGCCAGAAAATTACAGTTTTTCAAAAAGAGGTCAATACCCATGTAAAAAGGTTAATAATATTCATCTTCTTCTTCTTCATTATTATTGTTATTATTATTTTGAATTTCTTATATACAAAAAGGAGATTGCCTTATATTTAATAGAGTAATACTACACCCACAACATCTTCTCACAACCTCAACGTGGCAGCTTGCAATTGGTCAACTCGTAATGAGTCCCACCTGATAAATTACGGCTAACTAATTGCGAGTTGTCACATCGGGATTGTGAGAAGAGGTTATGGGTATAGTATTACTCATATTTAATATTTCCTTCATTACATGCTATTCATAAGTTTTCATGAGTTATGTCACTATTAGTCTATTGTCTTATTTCATTTGTTAAAGGAAGAAATAATGTCAGCAAACCAAGCGATGGACCTCTATATCTCCTTTTTAAGGCAGAATAACTTGCTTAATACAAGCATGTGAGATATTCTTTATCCGTTTATGTTTTCCCAAAGTCATTGCTTTTTTTATTGGGGGAGCATTTCTACATAATTTGTATTTATTAATGTGTGTATCCTATGAATGGAGTGACTGAAGCAGTGTTAATCATAAAATGTTTCGCAGTACTCTTGGATCTTAGTTCCGATACTGGTATGACCTTTCCAACTTATATTATAAATTCTTTTACATTTTGAGATCTTCGTAACGATGAAAAGCTCATTACATTTCTGCAGGATCAAAGAGTGCAAAAATCTCCAATATTGCATCTCTTGAACTTCTGGAGATCATCAAGAGAAGTTCTCTTCTTGAATCATTTCGAGAGATGGCTTGCTTGATAAGATAATCCCAAGTACTTACCAAATGAACTTCTTACTAGGGGTGATCGAGTACGAGTACCCTAGAATTTTTTAAGGAACTAAAACCAAAACCGGAACTAGTCAATTCCTGAAATTAGGAATCAGAATCGGAACCGGTCCGTTCTGGTTCCAGCTTCGGTTCCGGTTCCTCAATAGCTGGAACCGGAACCTGTGAGATAGGTTCCGGTTCCAATTCCAGGTACCGTGGATAATTAATTGGTCCCTATTAGGTTACAAAATGACAAAAATACCTTTAAAATTTACAAATACACCCTCACTTGTTTACATATTCTTTAACTTTTCTCTTATTAATTAATTTAAATATTTCAAATAATTTAGATATATAGTCTAAGACTCTAAGACACATCGATCATGCATAAACGCGTATAGTTCATATAGTGTATAAACACGAGATTAATCATGTCATGTGTAAAAAAGCCAATTTGACCATGTGTTATTTATGTGTGAAGACAAGTGATAATTAAGACTTAAGATGGGATCTGTTGACTTGGTATAGATTGATATCAAGTTCCTAAATAAATGTCAAGATACATTTAAAAAGGAAAATTTCTAGCCGGAGTATATAAAATGTTACCTAAAAGGTTTTTTCATGGTGACGCGTTCCATATGTATTGATTGCCAATTTGATATAAGATTAAGGAAAAGATTTTGACATACCATGAATCCATTCTTAATTGGGATTAGACAACGGAATGATTTAATTATACAACGCATATGATTATAAAAGGGTTCGTTGGAGTATATCTTCATTGTGACTTAGGGGTTATGGATTACTAATTGCCTGCCATAATCGGTAGGAGTTTCGGTCACAAAAAGTTATGACGAAACATATCGAAATAGGTATGATATTGGATCCACGGCTAAGCCACAGTGAACGTAAGAGGTCACACATAAAAACTAAGAAGAATTGAGAAATAACCAAAAAAAAAAAAAAAAGTTGATTATCCAAGGTTGGCTAGCACCTGCTAAGGGTAATAAAGTTATTTATATCATTATCATTGAATTAAATTCAATTAAGGGTTATATTAGTTATTATGAATAATTTAAGAGTTAAATTGCTAATTGGAATTAAATAGAATTCCAATTCATAATTAATCATTTTCTTTATATTAAATTGGATTTAATAATGGGTTGTAATTGTAAACATATAAACAATTTAAGGGTTAAATACAATTTAAGAGTTAAATTTTAATTATGATTAAATGTTAATCCAATGTTATTATTTAAAAAAGTTTAATAACTTCATAATAACTATGGAATTATTTCAAC